TGTGGTAAAAGCATTAACCTGTTAACCAAATGGTCAGCAGTTTGAACCCACCAGCAACTCTTTGAAAGAAAGACAATGTAGTCTGCTCCTGTAAAAGCTTTGGAAACCCTATTGGGGGTGGGGTGGAGTTCTACTCTGTCCTATAGGATCATTATGAGTCAGAATTGACTTGATGGCAGTGGGGTTGGTTGGTTGGATCATTTCGAGAAGGTTCCTGTGGTGTAGTAAATTACTTAGTGTGGCTTTTCTACCCATAAGTCTTTGTAAACTCCAAGGTAGGATTTTCTATGAGCAACTGAGGAGCTCCTGATTGCTGAAGCTATCCACCTGGGTTATTTCTGTTGGGTGTGGCACAATACAATGTTCTGGGAGGTGCCCACTCTCTCTCAGGTGCTTAGAGTTCTGATGCTGTGATTGACTAGTTTGACCACCCTGCCGGGCTCAAAAGGAGGCCTCCTAGAGGCAGAACTCTCTCTGACTGCTGGTTGAGGAAGACCTGCTGCTGAAAGAGACCTGGGCTCCTGAGACACGCGTTGCTGGGAAAGAGACGCAAGAGACACGCATTGCTGAGTGAGACACGGAGGGACCAGCACTGCTGGGAAAGAGACTGTAGGAGACTGTTGGCTGAGGGACGGTGGGCTTGGAGAGAGACTGAGCATTTTTCCTGAACTTGAATTGTAGCCTGTGGTGCTTCCCTAATAAACCTCATAATCTGTGAGTTCTGTGTGGCCCCTGCAGCAAATTATCGAACCCAGGAGAGAAGTGGTGGTGCTTTGGGAGGAACGGTTGGTGAAAGGGCTGGAGGGAGGCAGCATGTCTGGCCTGGCAGGAATAGGCCTTGCACTATTGATGGTGATTCTGCCTTCCTCTTGTGGGATTAGAGGAGGTCAGAACATGTGGCCTCTTTGCCCTTTTTGCAGTTCCCTACCTGGTGGTGACTCTTCATGATCAATAAGGATTTGTAACATCAAGGATTCTGAAACAGACACTTAATTTAGATAGATCTTTAACCCTAGAATAAGTGCAAATGTTGACATGAATAAACCTTACAAAGCACAAAACAAATAAAAAATAATAGTTTTAGTCAACCTGTGCAGTGAGATAAATATGGTTTCTTTTCCACATGTTACCGTTAGGTGCCATCCAGTCGTCCCTGACTTATAGTGACCCTATGCACAGCAGAATGAAACACCACCTGGTCCCGTGCCAGCTCCACGATCCTTGCTATACTTGAGCCCATCACCGCAGCCACTGTGTCAATCCATTTTGTTGGGGCCTTCCCCTCTTTCGTCGTTTCCACCTTACCAAGCATGACATCCTTCTCCAGGGAATGGTCCCTTCTGATAACATGACCAAAGTAGGTGAGACAGAGTCTGGCTATTTCACTTCCAAGGAGCACTCTGGCTGTACTTCCTTCAGGACAGATTTGTTAGTTCTTTTAGCAGTCCATGCTACTTTCAGCATTCTTCACCAGCACCACATCTCAAAAGCATCAACTTTTCTTCGGTCTTCTTTATTCATTGTCCAGCTGTCACATGCATATGAGGTGATTGAAAATACCATGGCTTGTGTCAGGCTCACCTTAGTCCTCAAGGAAACATCTTTGCTCTTCAGCACTTGAAAGAGGTCCTTTGCAGCTGACTTGCCCAGTGCTATACATTTTCTGCTATACATTGCTGCTTGCATTGGTGTCAATTGTAGAACCAAGCAATGTGAAGTCTTTGAAAACTTCAGTCTTCTCTCCATTTATCGTGATGCTGCTTATAGTTCCAGTTGTGAGGATTTTTGTTTTCTTTATATTGAGATGTAATCCATACTGCAGACTGTATTCTTCAATCTTCATCAGTAAGTGCTTCAAGACACCCCCACTTTCAGCAAGCAAAGTTGTGTCATCAGCGTATTGCAGGTTATTAATAATTCTTCCTCCAATCTTCGTGCCACATTCTCCTTCATATAGTCTAGCTTCTTGTATTATTTGCTCAGCATATAGAATGAATAAGTATGGTGAAAGGATACAACTCTGACACACTCCCTTCTTGATTTTAAACCATGCAGTGTCCCCTTGTTCTGTTCAAATGATCTGGTCTATGTATAGGTTCCTCATGAGTACAATTAAGTGTTCTGGAATTCCCATTCTTCTCAATGTTATCCATAATTTGTCATGATCCACACAATAAAATGGTTTTGCATAGTCAATAAAACAGAAGTAAACATCTTTCTGGTATTCTTTGCTTTGACCAAGATCCATCTGACATCAGCAATGATATCCCTTGTTCCATGTCCTCTTCTGAATCCAGCTTGCATTTCTGGAATGTCCCTGTCGATATATTGCTGCAAATGTTTTTGAATTATCTTCAGTAAGATTTTACTTGCATGTGATATTAATAATATTTTTGATACTTTCCACATTCTGTGGGATCACCTTCCTTTGGAATGGATACAAATACGGATCTCTTCCGGTCAGTTGGCCAGGTAGCTGTCTTCCAAATCTCTTGGCATAACTGAGTGAGTGCCTCCAGCGAGCCATCCATATGTTGAAACATCTCAATAGGTATTCTGTCAATTCCTGGAGCTTTGCTCCTTGCCAGTTCCCTCAGTGCATCTTTGACCTCTTCTCTCAACCATTGGTTCTTGAACATATGCCACCTCCTGAAATGGATGAAGATTAACCAGTTCTTTTTGGGTACAGTGACTCTGTGTATTACTGCCATCTTTTGATGCTTCCTGCATCATTCAATATTTTGCCCATAGAATCTTTCAATATTGCAACTCGAGGCTTAATTTTTTTCCTCAGTTCTTTCAGCTTCAGGAATGCAGAGCATGTTCTTCCCTTTTGGTTTTCTAACTCCAGGTCTTTGCACATTTCATTATAGTAATTGGCTTTGTCTGTCAAGCTGCTCTTTGAAATCTTTTTTCAACTCTTTTATCTTGTCATTTCTTCTGTTTGCTTTAGCTACTCTTCACTCAAGGGCAAGTGTCAGAGTCTCTTCTGACATCCATTTTGGTCTTTTCTTATTTTCTCATCTTTTTAATGACCTTTTGCTTTTTCTTCATGGATGATGTTCTTGATGTTATCCCACAATTCTTCTGTTTTTCAGTCATTGGTGTTCAGTGCATCACTTTTATTCTTTAGATGGTGTCTAAATTCAGGAGGGATATATTCAAGGTCATATTTTGGCTCTTGTGGACTTGTTTTAATTGTCTTCAAGTTGAACTTGCATATGAGTAGTTGATGGTCTATTCCACAATCAGCTCCTGGCCTTGTTTTGGCTGGAGATACTGAGCTTTTTCCATTGCCTCTTGCCACAGATGTAGTCAGTCTGATTCCTATATACTCCATCTGGTGATGTCCACATGAATCCTGCTGCTTTGTTGTCCCTGGTGTTCCCTCCCTTTCCTGCCTCTGGGGTGGGGCCTGTCTCCCTCCTCTTACCTGGATCCTGTGGCTTTTGGCCTTCCTCTCCCTTTCCTGCATCTGAGGGTGGGGCCTGTCTCACCCTTTTCCAGGTAGCAACAGTATATTAATTGGGTATTTTTCTCATTTGCATGGTGGAAAGTGGTAAATGAGAGCAGAGCAAAGGAGTCAGGGCCTGGAGTCAGCATAGTGCACCCATCCTTGAGCCACAGTATGGTGGCTGCAGCCCCAGGGTCAGGGTGAGAGCCTCAGGAGAAGATACTGAGATGTCACAGGCTCCATCTTCCACAGCTCTTTTCTGCTCAAACTGAAGGAGCCCTTTCTTTTCCAAAGCCTTTTTTTTTTTTTAATAAGGCACTCTGGTGGCCCAGTGCTTAAGGCATTTACTGCTAACCAGGCAGTGAGAGCTCTGGTAACGTAGTGTCTAAGGCACTTGACTGCTAACCAGAGGGCTGGCGGTTCAAACCCATCAGCTGCTCTTTGGAAGAAAGGTTGGGCTATCTTCTTCCATGGTGATCTCTCCTTGGAAACCCAAGGAGGGGTCACTGTGTGTTGGGTCCAACTCAATGGCACATAACAACAACAGCAGAAGGTTGGTGGTTCAAACCCACCAGCTGCTCTGTAGAAGGAAGATGGGGCCGTCTATTTAGAGCTCTCTTAGGACACAGCCCTTGCTTACAAGGAGTGTTTCTACGCTGGTGGTTCTCAGTACAGAGGCATCTCTGGCTGTTCTAAGTCCCTTTATACATTTCAAGTGACATTATACAAGCTGCTGCAATGCCACCTCTTGACAATGGGCTGAACATGCTGTGGTACAGAGCTTTGTTTTTGTCTGAGTCAATTTGTGAGGTGTTTCCCTATTCTCTGTATGTGAACAAAAGGGATCTCATAACCTGGGCTTAATTGTAGAGCAAAGTTCTTGGTTTCCCATGCCTCACGCTATTATGTCAATAGATACGATGATGATGAGAAAACATTTCCAAAGTAAGATGGGAGATTTGTCTCTTACCAGCCGCTTTCTTTCAGGTATGTTTCCAGTTTTTCCTGAATGGAAAGTCAGGAATGGAAATTATAGGCTGGTGCCCCTCTATTTTGTCTGCACGTTAGAATCACTCAAAAGAAAAAAAACCCCAAAAACAACCAAACTCACTGCCATTGAGTTGATTCGACTCGTAGTGACCCCTCTTGGGTTTCCAAGGCATTATCTCTACAGAAGTAGATTGCCCAGTCTTCTTTCTGAGGAGTGGCTGGTGGGTTTGAACTGCCAGCCTTCTGCTTAGCAGTCAAATGCCTTAGGCACTATGCCTCAGAGCACTTAGGCCCCTCTTAAAGATCTTAACGCCCAGTCCACACCAAGACCAAAGACATCAGAATCATAGGGAAAGAGGGAGAACCACACATCAACTCTTTTTTCTTTTAAGTTCCTCAGTAATTCCAGTGTACAGCCAGTAAAACCACATGGATTGGGATTGGGGGCAGTGTGGAGGACACAGTGAGGTGGCAGAGACTTATGTTTTTGAGCTTATTTTGGTAAAAAGAAAATTGTTTCCTAATATTTTCTGTCCTGTTTTCATTTGTGTTTTAGGAAAACTACGAGCAGATGAAAGCACTAGTAGATCAACTACATGATCGAGCACAACATATAAGAATAGGTAAACACTGCATTTATTCATCAGTTTGTTTTTCCTCAGATGTCCCATTATAATTACTGGTTTCAGGAAAAACATGTAGCATTAAGCTTTTAACTCTTCAAGACTGTATTTGCTGATATGTAGACATTTTATTTCAGTTTATTTTTCCTAATACTGGGTTCTTTTCTTCTGTTTAGATAACATTGTCATATTGGGATGAATTGGGAACTAAAATTTACCACATTTTTAAGTATTTTTGTTAAAGCCTTATTTCAACCACAGGATTACTATCTTTTGTTTTACTTAAAGCAGCTGAAACATTTCCTGCTCATCAGCCATATTCATGCTATCTGGTAAACTTTGCAAAGTTATACATTTTCCACTGTGTTATATACCTTGGAAATAACTTCTCATAGGTTCATTGCTAATTTAATAAATGAGATTTTCTAAAAACTATTTCCTAGTTTTAAACTGTAGATGTAAACGATGTTCTTTGCTTGGATACAACTGCATAGGGAGGAGTACCCAGCATTAATGTATAAACAAATACTTCATGATATGGTGAGCTGCAGTGTTCTGTTGTGCTGTTCTCAGGATATAAGACAGTTGTACTCTTACAGGACCATGTGACTTGAAACTAAAGAGCTTGGATACAGATCATTCTCAAAATAAGATTCTTAATACATTACAGGTACTTTACTTGGAAGAACATATATGAATCTTATAGCCATCATTTTAAAAAATATCTTTCCAACATGTTCATATCTAGAAACAGGAGCATTCTTTCTGTTGTATCTGTAAGTCTGTGGATTTAAGAGTATTCTCTTAAGTATACATTCTTAGGTGTGATCTTATCCTATCCAGAGGATAGACTCCCAGTAGAAAGAATTAGGAAACTAATTCAGAGAAATCTTGGTCGATTTCTCTTTAGTTTAAATACAAATATAACTTACATATATATTTTTTTCTTTTGAGAACTTTAAGGATGATGGCAAGATAATTGACTTATGGTAGGTGAACAAAGAGGCAGTCTGATCATGTATGTAGGGTATTAGCGGAGAAAGCGGCTCAATGCGAGGTGTGGAACCCCTTTGCAGTGGACCATTGGTCTTTGGGTCCTGAGAGGAGGCCCACAACTGAGGCCAACGAGCAGAGGCCAACCTGTCTGAGGGGGATCACCTGGCAGCCAGATGCTGACTAAGCCTCAGGAGGCCTCCTGTTGTGAGGTGAGTAAAAAGCCTAGGAGGAGAGAGGCCCAAGCAGGAGGGAGGCTCAAGGAAGCTTCAGATTGGAGAGTAAGAATATTCTGCTCTCAGAGGAAGGTTGAGCTCGTCCTCAGAGGCACAGGAAGTTGCTTAGGAATACTTCCTCCTGCCTAGTCCTGTCCCAAAATGGAATCATCAGCCTAGGGGATAAGAGGTTGGAAAATTCTTCCAAAGAGACTGGCACCAATAGCAGCAGAAACCCCGGACCCAGAAAGAGTGCAGGATTGGGAGAAACAGTAGTGGAGGCCAGGAGAAAGCAGAAGCGTGTGTCTGCTGAACAGGGAAGTGGCAGCAGAGCAGTCTGAGAGGAGTGTGTGTGGGGGAATAACTCAGTAATGAGCTCAGCACTGGAAGCAGTAGCACCAGAAGCGGTGGTCCCAGGCAGCAGCAGAAACCCCAGCTGAGAGCGATAGGCCCAGAGGCAGCTGTGGTGGCAGTGAGATGAGGGGCCCAAGTGGGCTGGGCTGTGACCAAAAATCCCACTAAGGCAGAGGAGGTCCTGCCTGTGGAGCCTGGGTGTGCCCCAAGGAGAGGTTGCTCCTAGAGCAGTTCTGTTTGGAGCATGTGAACCATGCCATACCTGCTGACACCTGACATGCCCACCCAATGTTGTAGGAAGGAACATTGATTTTTCACCGTGAAACTGTTGTTTAAGAGTGAACGTTAATTTCCGTTTGTTGTTTGTGAGCTACTTTCCATCAAGAAACTATTATTTACTGTTTGGTACCTTAGTAATTAAAATGGCTTTCAGCATTGCCAAAGTGCCTTGATGTAGCTAGCGTCTTTGGAGAGGGTATTGCTCCTAGTTGAGGCCCTGTGCATGTACAGCAGGGGACTCAGTGCTTTGGTCTGTTGTCAGATTTTGAAAGTGGTGGGCTAGACTGGTTTTGTTATTCTAATAATTAAACAATTTCAGTCAAGTTATTTAATCCCCAGTCAATTTTTAGTAATTTATAACTTGATATTTCAGAGTGGTTCTGTGAATTATGGCCATTCACTATCAGCAGCCATTTCTGTCTTCTCTCCACTGAACAAATCAATCAAAACTAACTGAAAAGGACAGAAAATAGACTCATTTGGAATATTGCAGTCTTTGTCTTTTTTTGTTATAGCAGTTTAGTCAAAATCAATTAAACTCTTTAAACCCTTTACCATGACATGAAAAAACACATACAAAACACAGAGTGTGTTACTTGGAGGGGGATCTTTGTAGGAGATCCTGGATAGGGAAGGAGAACAATGTGGAACAAAACTCAAAATCATATGGGAAAAAAAAGGTGGGGACCAGGTTTGCTGGTTCGATAGAGCCTGGTGGAACCACTGAGACTATGGCCCCTAGCTGCCCTTCAGGTCTGAAATTGAACCCACACCTGTGGCTTCCAGCTAAACACAAGACAGGTATATGAGTTGAACATTTACCTGAGGTAGGTACACTCTTTGGAGAGAACCATCATGGGAGAAAGAAGTACTGTGTATGCACAGGGAGGCAGCTGAGGGGTCAGGAGTGCTTGGAGGGATGGACACAGGGAAGAGGTAACTATCGGGAGGAAGTGGGATAGGAGCTGTTGCATTGGGGTAAATTAAAGTTAATGTCATGAGACAGTGTGTGTGAAATGCTGTATGGAAAGTGAATTTGCTCTGTAAATTTTCACCCAAATCAAAAAAAAAAAAAAGAGAAAAAACAAAACAAAATAAAACACAGAGTGTGTTAAAGCAGAGATTTCATTCAGATGTCAGTAATTGGTCTCATCTCCCTATGAGGGTATCAGGGAGAGTTTTGTTAAAAATAAATAAAGAAATAAAGAAGACGGCTATGAAATTCATATGTTGGTTGCTGTTGTTAGGGGCTGCTGAGTCTGTTCCAACTCATAGCGACCCAGTGAATGAAACACTGCCCGGTCCTCTGCCATCCTCACAATCATAAAATTCATATATCTCCTTCTAAATTAGGTGCTCATAAAATATTAAGAATATTGTTTTGAAATTACCCTGTATTCTGATTCTTTAGTTTGAAGCCACAGAAATCCAAATCAACTTATTTATTCTAGAAAGCAGCGCTTACTAGTTCTTATAACTAAACCATGAAAAGGTGACTGGATCCAGCTGCTCCAGCGGACATACTCATCTCTCCCAAGAATTTCCTCTGCCTCTAGAGTTTGGTGAGACCCCTGAGACTGACCCCTAGTTACCCTGCAGGCCTAGAAATGAACTCACTCCTCTGGCTTCCAGCCAAACAATAGACAGGCATATAGGGTGAACATTTACATCAAATAGATACACTCCTTAGAGCAAGATCAATCCAGGGAGTACCAAGGGTAGTATTTGCACAGGGAGATGGCTTAGGGGGCAGGAGTGCATGGGAGGGAAGGTACAGGGAAGAGGTAATTATGGGGAGGAAGTGGGAAGAGAGCTGTTATATTGTGGGGAATTGGAGTCAGTGTCATGAAACAAAATGTGTATGAACTGCTGTATGGAAAATGAATTTTCTTCGTAAACTTTCACCCAAATCACAATTAAAAAAAAAAAAAATTTCCTCTGCCCCTTTGTAGCCAGTATCTCCCTTATCTACTCCTAAACATGCCTCAGTAGAGAACTTGTTGGGAGAACAGTGATCTGCCTTAATTCCCAGTATTATGTGACTAAGTCTTTCCTTCCCAGTATTATTTTCATTTCAAAAGACTATTAGATGTGTGATATAATTTTCTCTGTAATCTTAAAGCAGATTTAATCTTAAAAATATGTCATTCGCCTCTTTAGGAAAAAAAAAAAAAAAGCCCGCAAATACAGTAGAGAGTCCTGGTTTGAAAAATAAAGTTTGACGTGGGAAACTTGTTTGAAATAGATACGAGCTTATTTTTATTACCTCAAAAAACAAAATAAAAATGGCTTTTTAAAAATTTTTGTTGTGATTTGGGTGAAAGTTTACAAAGCAAATTCATTTTCCATACAGCAGCTCACATACACATTGTCTGCAGTTTCCCACAATGCAACAGCTTCCCTCCCACTTCCTCCCCATAGTTACCTCTTCCCTGTGTCCTTTCCTCCCATGTACTTCTGCCTGCCCATCTCCCTGTGCATACACACCCTTCTATTCTCCCAAAAATGGCTTTCTTAAATAGCTTAACTTTTCATTAAATAAAGACTGTAGGAAACTCTTAGCCAACCTTTGGGTCTGGAACTGAACCCACTCTGGCTCAACTTCTAGCCAAACAATAGACAGTCCTATGAGGTGACAGTAACACCAAGGAGGTGTAAACACTCCTTAGAACAATCAGCCATAGGAGATCAGAGGGCAGCATTTGCCCAGGTATGAAGCTCAGAAGGCAGGAATGGGTGGTAAAGAAGGACCAAAGAAAATGATAACCTCAGGGAGGAGGTGGGAGAAGTGCTGTTACATTGTGGGGATTGCAATGAATGACGTGAACAGTTGAATGGAAAACCAATTTACTCTGTAAACTTTCACCCAAATCACAATAAAAAGTTAAGGAAAAAAGAAGACTGTATGAAGGTAGAATTATTAGGCAACAATGAAAACATTTTCAGGTACAATTTGGTGCTTCAGTTCCTAATCTGTTACTGTGGAGAGTGGGTTCCAGATGTTCTCAAGAAGAGCTCATCAGTGCTTCGGTTGGCTGAGTGAGGCTTGGTGCACCTCTGGCCTCAGGTAGCCTTGCCACATTACCTTAGCAGGCTCTTCAGTTACTGTAATTTTCTCTGTCATGTTGTAATGCTGGAACAACTACTGCAGATAATCTTTGAGTTAAGTTACTTAGAAAAAGAGATTATAAAATTGCTGTATAAGGTGTTCTCGTGTCATTTGGGGGCCTAAAATGTTATAGGGCACTAGTGGCACTTTTAGGTAAGTTTTACTGTGCTTACCGTGAAAGTTATTCCTAAAATAATGCTTTTACATGGTACAAATGAAGGTGGGTATTTTCAGTCTTCTCTTACCATGTAGCACAGTGCTAGATATATGTAGTAGGTATTATTTAATAAATGTGGTGGAGATTGGGCAGTGTCTGCAGTGTGTGAATTGTAGAAAAAATATAATGTAATTTCTTTAATTACTGGGAAATTCAGAAAACATAATACAGGCAGTCCCTAGGTTATGAATGAGATCGTTCCTGAGTGTGTTTTTAAGTTGAATTTGTAGATAAGCTGGAGCAAATGCTTATGGTTCTTACTTAGTGCTTGAATAATTCTTTTAGAAGGATTAATGCAAGGCTGGTCCTTATGAGGCAGAGGTTAAAAATGCCTCAAGTGTCCAACTTTTCCAAACTGCTGTTCCACTCCATCATGTCTAACATCAGCTTGTCCTCCTCCCCTCAATCCTCTCCCTCCTGTTTTAGGGTTCTGTATTTTGCCATAACATCTTACAGAACTCACGAACTGCCAAGGAAATGGCTCTCAAGGTGGTAGAGGCTGGCAGGTCCCAAATCTGTGGGTAAGGTTTTGGTCTGGAGTATTGTCCTCACTCACATAGTTGCAGGGGTAGATGAACCCAAACTGGCAGATCAGACAGCTGGCTGCTATCTCAGGTCCCCAAGAGCTGGGGGTGAGATGATGACAATTCCAATGTAGGATCCAGAGTAAGGGAGCGAAGTTTGCCAGAGCGTTCACATATATATTCTCAAGGAAACCAAGGGTGGTGTCTTGAGTCACACCCTCCAGCAATGCTGGGCTCAAGATACATCTAACCCTAATCTTGCCTCATCAATGTAACAGACAACTCACCCCAAAATGAGACTGTAACCACAGACATAGAGGCCAGGATTTACAATACATGACAGAATGGAGGACTATGTCCAGAAGGGCCATATTAAGCAACTCACTATGCTGCAGTTACTCTTACTTTAGTGTAAGAAAGGAACGCTGATACAGAAGTGGTGAAAGCATTTGGCTACTAACCAGAAGTTTGGCAGTTCAAAGCCACCAGCTAGCTGCTCCATAGGAGAAAGATGAGGCAGTCTGCTTCTGTGAAGATTTACAGCCTTGGGGTAGTTCTACTCTGTTGTAGAGGGTTGTTGAGTTAGAATTGACTCAATGGCAGTGGGTTGGTGGGTTTAGTGCAAGAGAAGGCTCAGAGCCTTTCCATTGATATCAAAGCTGCACGTACAGCAAGTGAAGGTGATTGTGATGAGGGACCTGTTAGGAGTAGGGTTTAGTTCAGTTGTTTCAAAGTGAGGGCAGATTTGCATAATAAAGGACAAGTATGAGTTGTCCATAAGTTGGGTGTTTGTAACCTGGGGACTTACTGTATACTGAGGGATCAAAGAGTGATTTTCAAAAAGGTCAGTTTATTTACTTTAGAAAATTAGCACCTTGTAAGTTGAGTGAATGATCCAAAAAATTTGCAGTTTCTCACAGGATAAGTTGAACTTTTTTAAAAGTCACCATATTTTGGACTAAGCCTTATGGGTTTCTCTGGCATTAAGTTAAATGGAGATCTTATGTCATGTAAATCTAATCTAATCTAATCTGTGTTTTATTGTAGGAGGTGGTGAGAAAGCCCGAGCCCGACACAAATCAAGAGGAAAACTGTTACCTAGAGAAAGAATTGACAATCTTATAGATCCAGGGTTGGTACCTACTGATGAGCTAACATAGAGTGTTCTCTATTCCTTGATTCAGAAAATGATTACAAATTCTAATTCTTACTGTAATGATTGAAATAAACATCTTAAATTAGAAAAACATTATCACGCTACAGGAAAATAAAATCCTATGGTACAGAAGTGGTGAAAAGCATTTGGCTTACTAAGCAAAAGTTTGGCAGTTCGAAGCCACCAGCTGGTCCATGGGAGAAAGATGAGGTGGTCTGCTTCCATAAAGATTTACAGCCTTGGGGCAGTTCTACTCTGTCCTAGAGGGTTGCTACCACCCAGACATAAATGCTTTTATTATTCATTCAACAAGTGTTTATTGCGTTCTGTTGGCATAGTGCCTAAGGCATTTGACTGCTGACCGGAAGGCTGGTGGTTCAAACCCACCAGCCACTCCTCGGAAGGAAGGTTGTGCAATCTACTTCCATAGTGGTACTGCCTTGGAAGCCCAAGGAGAGGTCACTATGAGTTGAATCCGACTCAACAGCAGTGTGTTTGGTTTGGTTTATTAGGTGTCAGGCATTATTTGAGGTGCTGTTGTTGATAGGTGCTGTTGAGTTGACCCCAACTCATAGCAACCCTGTGTATCACAGAATGAAACACTGCCTGATCGTATGCCATCCTCACACTCTTTGGTGTACTTGAGCCCATCGTTGGCAGCCACTGTGTCAATCCATCTCGTTGAGGGTCTTCCCTTTTTTCGCTGACCCTCTACTTTACTAAGCATGATATCTTTTCCAGGGAATGGTCCCTTCTGACAAGATGACCAAAGTAGGTGAGATAAAGTTTAAAGTGTTTGTGATATATCAGTGAACAAAATAGACAAAGATTCTTGCCCTACTGGAGTTTACAGTAGAGCAAAGGGAGATAAGCAGTAAATGTAATGTGTAAACTGTATAGGATATTAGAAGGCGATAAATGCCACAGGAAAAAGAAAAAGTAGAATAGAGTAAGGGGGAGAAAGACTTGGTGGCTAGTTGGCAGTTTTACATAGGATGGTCAGGGAAGGCCTCATTGAGAAGGTCACATCTAAGGAAAGGTTTGAAGGTAGGAAGAGAGAGGGCTTTGCAAATATTTGGGGAAAGAGTGTGCCAGCAGAGAGAACAGGGCTAGCAAAGGCCCTGAGATGAGGGTATGCCTGATAAGCCCAAGGAGTTGCCAGGACGCTGGAATGACTACAGTGGAGAGGGTGATGGGAGAGTAATAAAAGATGGGGTGAGATTATGTAGGACTCTGTAGGCTATCCTAAGAGTTCTGGCTCTTACCTTGAGAGAAATGGGAACTTCTGCAGGGTTTTGAGAAGAAGACTATTATGGTTTACATGACTTAACGTTTTTCGGGCTGCTGTGTTTGTGAGTATACTAGGGCAGCAGGAGTGGAGCCAATAAGACAATTAGAACAGTATTGCAGTGATTCAAGGGAAAGATGATTGTGACTCAGACTAGGGTGGTGGTAGTAGAGGTGGTGAGGATGGTCAGGTTCTGGTTATATTATGAAGGTAAAGCTGACAGGATTTCCTGAAGGGTTTGATGTGAGGTGAGAGAGAGAGGACTAGATGAAGACTTCAAAAAATATATTTTTTCTTATGACAAAAGCAATATGTGTTAATATGTTGTTGTTGTTATGTGCTGTCGAGTCGGACCCGATTCATAGCGACCCCTCCTTGGGTTTCCAAGGCGGTATCACTACGGAAGTAGATTGCCCCATCTTCCTTCCGAGGAGTGGCTGGTAGATTTGAACCGCCAGCCTTCTGGTTAGCAGTCAAGTGCCTTAGCCACTAGCTACCAGAGCTCCCATGTGTTAATATACGAAATAATAAACATACACACCAACATGAAGAACACCACTGTTCATACCTAGCGTAGGTCCTTTTAGACCATTTTTATGCATATATATATATATATATATCCATCCCACTGCTGTCAAGTCGATCTTGACTCTTAGGAACCCTACAAGACAGAATAGAATTGTCCCATAGGGTTTCTAAGGCTGCAAAGATGTGGCTGAAACAGATCACCACTTCTTTTTCCTATGGAGCAGCTGGTGGGTTTGAACCCTGACCTTTTGGTTGGCTACCAAGCGCTTTAACCAGTGTGACACCAGTATAACTGAGGTGGAATAGCACAGTGCTTAAGAGCCTGATCTTTGGAACCAGACTGCTTGTATGAAATCCTAGCTCTGCCACTCATTACTGGTGTGACCTTAGACCCATTATGTAGTCCTTGTACATCTCAGCTTCCTCATCTGAAATGGAGATCATAATAGGATCCACCTCAGAGTAGTTCTGAGGAGAGTGAGCATTTCTGAAGCTCTTAGATGAGAGGCTGACACATGGTAAATGTTACATAAGTGTTAGATGCTATTCTCTTTCTAAACTCATACACACATTATACAACATCTTTTAAAATAAGTCCCTAGTGTTCTGTTGTGTGAACATACCATGTAAGTCCCCAAAATACTCACATTGGATTTTGTTTTATTTTTTATAAATTCTCATTGTAGGATTTATTTATAATATGGGTATTTGAAACATTGCTATGTTAAAAAAAGTCTTAGCTTTTTCATGTATAGCTATTTAAAATTTTTTTTTAAAAAAAATTTTAATGACAGTAATTTAAGCAACATCTTTTTCCCCCCACAGGTCTCCATTTCTGGAATTATCCCAGTTTGCAGGTTACCAGTTATATGATAATGAGGAAGTCCCTGCTGGTGGCATCATTACAGGCATTGGCAGAGTGTCCGGGTTAGTATCCTACCTACTCAGCAGTGTGGTCAGAAGATTCTGATGAGGTGCAGGCATCCAGCACTGACTTTGCATATTAGCAAGCAAGTGGTAAGCTATATGTTATTTAGGGCTGAGGCTTTCTACCCAGATACATATTAGATTGATCTGGACTTTAAAATTAAAGGGGAAAAAACCCAGGCAAAATCCTTGGCTCCAATCCAGACCTCCCTACTTAATCAGAATCTCCAGGTGTGCACCTGGCCTGTGCAATGTCCACTACCAAATAAGCAAGGTAAGCACGGGCTTATGGTGGGCTCTTGTTAAAATGTAAATTCTGATTCAGAGTAGCTGGAGTGAGAAGGCAGATTGACAGCAGGGAGTTGAACCGGAATGAATGAGTTTGAAGTCCCGAAGCCCTGTTTTCAGAGGCTCCACAGGGAGTCTCTTAAACATCTAGGGTGACAATCATTCTTAGAGGAGTAGTTCTCTAAATGCAGCCCCTGGACACCAGCATCAGCATCACCTGAGAGCTTGTTAGAAATGCAGATTCTCACGTCTTGTCTTCTCAGAAGTACTAATTCAGAAACTCAGGATGGGGTCCTACACTCTGTGTTTTAACAGGCCCTCTGGGTTTTCATATGCTAAAGTTTGAGAACCACTATAGACGGAGGGAGTCTAAGTTGTTAGATGTTAAATTTATTTATACACATGTAGAAGAAATACAAGGTTAGGTTCCTGTGAGCTTCTGGTCACGATATATTTGTCAGCTGATCAATACATAACTTTGTTTTGTGTATGTTTCTGTTTAAAGATACCTAAATATATAAGGCTCTCTGGTGGTGTAGTGATTAACGTATTTGGCTGCTGAGTAAAAGGTTGGCACGTTTTTCTCAGGAGAGCAGCTGCTGGGTTCAAAACACCCAACCTTTCAGTTTGCAGTGGAGTGCTATACCCACTGTACCACCAAGGCTCCTAGAAATAGGTTTAAACAAACAAAAAACAAACTCACTGCCATCGAGTTGATTCCAACTCATGGCAACCACCATTGGGTTTCCAAGGCTGTTAAGTCTTTACAGAAGCAGATTGCCCCATCTTTCTTCCATGAAGTGGCTGGTGGGATGAAACCACTGACCTTCTGGTTAGCAGCTATACCACCAGACCTCCTTAGCAGGAGGGTAAAAAAAACTGCTGTCGAGTCGACTTGTACTGACCCTCCTTGGGTTTCTGAGGCAGTATCTCTAAGGAAGTAGATTGCCCAGTTTTCCTTCTAAGAAGTGGCTGGTGGATTTGAACTGCCAGCTTTCTGGATAGCAGCCAAATGTCTTAGGCACTATGCCACTAGCGCTCCCGAGCAGGAGGGTAGTTACTCTTAATTATACCTCCAGTGGTAATGACTGTGAGCACTTTTGGAGCAAGTTCATGGCCCCCCCCCTTTTTTTTTTAACATAAACAAATGTAAAAAAGGACCTATAGACATACTGTTTATGTTTCATATTTCTTATTTTGATTTTCTTGCTTTGTGCCTTGTTCTCAGTTTATAAAGTTTCCAACTTGGAAGGAAATAATTGCACTTGGGAATTGTACAGATTCAGGACCTGCTCTAAAGTAGTTTAAGAGGAAATGGAATTTATTGACTTTCTTAACTGAGAAGTTTAGGTGTGGCTTGATTCAGGAACTCAAACTTTATAATCAGTTACACCACAAGCTGTTTTCTACCCCTGGTCTACCTTGATGTGCTTTGGCCTTGTTCCTAGGTGCACTCTCTAACACAGAAGCAAAGATACCTCCAAGCCTTACAGTTTATAAGCTTAGCAGCTGCAGTGAGGAAAAAAAGTCCTAAGTGGTTGGGTTTGGAGCCTGTGCCAGTTGCTGAGCCACTGTGTAGAGGTTGAATAGAAAAGTACAGAGTAAGCTCTGGGTTAGCCCCTTTCAGCCACAGAGATTAAAGATAAAGAAAAATAGGAGTTCTGTTGACAGAATGTGGATGTTGGGCAGGCAAAACAAACATTTAATACAGTGTTTTTTGTGGACTGGTTTTATTTCCCATTCTGTAACATGTTTGTGACCTTTTAATAGATGAGCAAAACTGGCTTTGTCCTTATCCAGAGTCATGGAACTAGCAAGTGGTAGAGCTAGAATTCCAGGCTAGTTTGTCTGATGCCGTAGCCTCACCTCTTTCCAGTACCAGGGTTTTGCAAGCTTTTCCAGTGTCGCGCTCCCACTGGCAGAGAAATGTGAACTCCCTAGAGTTGTGGATTCTGTCCCAGCACCTGCCTGAAGCCTAAATTTCCTTTGAAGTCCAATTTGCTTAATATTAAAGTCATTAAAAATTTGCATTTCATGCTATAAAATGTTCATGTAGAAAAGGTTCTGTGAGACCCAGTAAATAAAATTTATGCTCGAAGAAGAGGAACCACGTTTGTTTTGTGTTGAACCCTGCTGGCCATGTTCCCTAGTGTGAGAAGTAATAACATTGGCCTAGGCTGCATGTGTAGTTAATGTTCACTTTATTTTCATCAGGAATTACAATTCAGAGAGTTACTCAATAGACTTCTTTTATTTATTTATTGTTGTTGAGAATATACATAGCAAGATATACACCGACTCAGCAGTTTCTACATGTACAATTTAGGGACGTTGATCATAGTCTTCAAATTATGCAACCATTCTCACCCTCCTTTTCTGAGTTTGTCTCCCATTAACATATATTCACTGCCCCCTAAGGTTCCTCACTAATTTTTCAAGTTGTTGTCACTTCTACCCCATATATGTATATACATACATAAACTCACTGCCATTGAGTCAGATCTGACTCACAGCGACCCCTTCTTGGGTTTCCAAGGCAGTATCACTACGGAAGTAGATTGCCTCATCTTCCTTCTGAGGAGTGGATGGTGGGTTTGAACTGTCAGCCTTCTGGTTAGCAGTCAAGTGCCTTAGGCACTATACCACTAGAGCTCCTATATAGATATATATATGTATGTATGTGTGTGTGTGTGTGTATATATATATATGTGTGTGTATATATATGTGTATATATTTACATATATATATGAAAAAATATATATATGAAGATATATATATGTACATATATATATAGTTTTTTTAAATTGTGTTTTAGGTAAAAGTTTACAGAACAGATTCATTTTCTATACAGCATTTTGTTCATACACATTTTGTTTCATGACATTGACTACAATTCTCACAGTGTAACAGCTTTCTTCCTACTTCCTGCCTGTAATTACCTCTTCCCTGTGTCCTTCTTTCCTATGCATTCCTGCTCCCTGAGCTATCTCCCTGTTCAAATTCTGCCCTTCTGTTCTCCTGTGATTGATCGTTCTAAGGAGTGTATCTACCTGATGTAAATGTTTACACTATGTACCTGTCTCTTGTTTGGCTAGAAGCCAGGGGAGTGAGTTCAGTTCCAGATCTGAAGGGTAGCTAAGGGCCATAATCTCAGGGGTCTCACCAGGCTCTGTCAGGCCAGTAAACCTGGTCTTTTTTTATGATTTTGAATTTTGTTCCATACGTTCTCCCACTCTAGCCAGGATGTCCTGCACTGGTCCTTTTCTGAGTGGTTGACGGTGGTCAGGCACTATCTAGTTCTTCTGGTCTTGTAGTCACACAGACTCAGGTTCACAGATCCCATATAGATAGTTCTCACAAGAGCATAATGTTCATGGCAGACATGCTTTGCTAATTAGGCTAAACTGTTATTTGATTTTAAGAAGACTTCAGGGGATACTTTAAGTTTTAAAGATTATGTCAAGCAATCAATAGTTTCAGGAATTCATCCAGCCTTCATGGCTTCAAACAGTCTGAAGTCCATGAGAATTTGAAATTGTGTTCTATATATCCCACCTTTTGATCAAGATTCCTCTGTATACCCATTCTTCATTTATCAACATGGTTAGGTTCCAAAGACCAGATCATTATGCAGAATCAGTGTTACATGAGAGTTAGGGCCCATGCTCTGTTTTTGGTACCATTGCTCCTCTACCCTAGTTGCTCATTGCCCATTGGGTGACCCTGGCACATCTCAGGATGTGCATTGAATGGTATATTGGTCCCCCATTTCCTACCGCTCCTTTATACCACTGTGGAGCCTGGGGTGGTGGTGGTGGGTGGTAGTGATGGTTGGATGGTGCCCACTGCCCATCATCTCCTGGTGCTTGCCCTGGTTGTGGAGCCCACTTACTCTCTGCCTGCTGCTGTGTCCTGCCTGCCTTGGGCATGGATCTTGCTCATCTTCTGCCCATTACCTCCTGCCATCTGCCCTGGGCAGAGACCCTGCTCATACTCCATCTCCCCTGGCCCTGTAGCCTCTTGCAACCTTCTTCCCTCTCTCCCTCCCCTCTCCTTCCCATCTCCTCTTATTGACCTTTGCAGCTCCTTCGGGTCCTTCCCTGACTTCCCCCTGCCCATCTACAACCTCATTCCACTGTTACCCCACGCCCTCTGTGGCTGGGCCAAGACATTGAATGAACAAGAGAAGGCCTCTGTGGCTGGGCAGCACTGTCCTCCATGTGGCCTGGTTGTTGCTGGGGCCTCTGGTATATCATTCATGGTGGCTTTTGGAAGGTGTGCTGGGCCCAGCTGTAGCCCTCCATGGGGCCCAGACCATCAGAGAATTCTGCCATCTGAAAATATTTCAAAGTGGTTGTAAATGTGAGATGTCAAGTAACAAGATAGTCAATAAGTGAGGAGTAAGCGTAAAATCTTTGATGAAAACATTCAGTAATGGTTGCCAGGCACCATCCTGTTTTTCTGGTGTCATGGGAAAGGAGGCAGTTATTTATAGTGATAAATTAGACACACATTAGGATTGATGACTCATTAAAAATCAAGTTTGAGTTTGTAAACTTATTAAAAATGATCATTCTGTATCAGGTAAATGCATACATGAGCCAGGATTAAAGCTTGTTTTTATAAATAAGATTGTCTTCTGAGGAGTATCATTAATGTTATGTGTTAGAAGTTGAAGATTATATTAGAGACTTTTAGGGTGAGATGTAATTGGCCTTTACTTTTAAAGACATCGCTCATTCTCTTTCCAATGAAATTTCTGCCTTTCAGGGTAGAATGCATGATTATTGCCAATGATGCCACTGTTAAGGGAGGTACCTACTTCCCAGTGACTGTGAAAAAACACATACGGGCACAAGAAATTGCGCTACAAAACAGGCTTACTTGCATCTACTTGGGTAAGTCACAAGAGCTGTAAAATAAATGACTGTTAGCTAGTACAGTGAAGACTGTTTAGAAGACTATGCATGTGACTTATCAGTGGCTATTTTTCTTTTTTTTAATTTTTGTTGTGATTTGGGTGAAAATTTACAGAGCAAATTCACTTTCCATGCGGCAGTTCACACATACTTTGTCTCCTGACACTGACAACAATTTACCACAATGCAACAGCTCCCCTCCCACTTCCTCCCCATAGTTACTTCTTCCTTGTGTCGTTCCCTTAATGCACTCCTGCCTCCTGAGCTGTTTCCCTGTGTATACATAGCCCTTCTATTCTCCCATGAGTGATCTCTCTAAGGAGTGTATCTATCTAATGCATATGTTCAGCTCATATTCTGAACATTTTGGCTGGAAGCTACAGGAGTGGGTTCAGTTTCAGACCTGAAGGGCAGCTAGGGACCATAGTCTCAGTGGTTCCATCAGGCTGTATCAGACCAGCAAACCTGGTTCCTTTTTTTTTTTTTTCCAAATGATTTTGAGTTATTGCATATTGTTCTCCCACTTTGTCCAGGATCCTACATAGATCCCCCTCCGAGTGGGGGGACAGTGGTGGCTGGGCACCGTCTAGTTCTTCTGGTCTCATAGTTGTATGGGCTGAGGATTGCATGGTGTACCAGTTGCTTGGCCTAATTGTTTCCATGAATTTTGGTTTTCTTGATTCTTCTTTGCTCCGGATGAGGAGAGACCCATCGTTGCATCTGGATGGCCACTCGCAAGCTTTTAAGATCCCAGTCACTTCTTGTCAAAATAGGATGTGGAACAATGTTTTTTGTAGTATGTTATGCCAATTGGGCTTGATGTCCCCTGTGACTATGGACCAAAGCCTACAGGTCCAACTATTTGCTTCCTTTGGGTAGCTGGCTGTGGCTAAGAAGTGACTACAACCATGTCAGCTCTACTGTATACCTGGAAATTCTTACAGAAAATACAAATACACTTATAGAAACATTGTCTGCCAACCCTGTACATGGACATGGGCACACTCTGCCCTAGATAGACATACCTGATAGTTCAGCCTGTCCACCCATCTATCCACCCATATATCCATGTTTGCCTTCACTGACAACGCAATACTGTATGTGCAAAAGGGTTCATCTTTGTTGTCTACCTCCCATGCACCTTTCTATGTCTTCCTCTTCCTCAGTGCATCAGTGGATATTTTTATAAACTGTTTTTCCCATAATGCAAAGGAAATGTATGTTCTTTGCTAAATCTCTGGGTGGAGGGAGTTAATAGAACTGTTCAGGAATAACCCCTGAAAAAAGCTGGTTTATGTAATTCTTTTTCTCTATGCATGTGTGAAGTTTTTCTTCTCCTTTTTTTTCCCCCTTAATTATGTATATTATTTGAAAGTTTTAATTTACAGTAAATTTAACTTTCAGTGACTATAAATTTATACTTGAAAGTAAAATGCACTGAATAGTTCAGGATATTTCATAAAAGTACCTAAAAGCTTGGGAGTTTAAAACTGGCACTTCCTGAATATTGATTTAGTCTGGTAAAGCTCCAGAAAATACTGTTCATTTGTGCAGGTATTTGGACCGCTACACTGATACTGAGATTTTTCTTGTGAGAAAGTGAATTCAGCTGGTTAATTCACAGTGGAAACTGCTTTTCACATGTGGAAAACCCCAAGTGAGGCCCTGCTGATTTGTAGGTGGTGGCCAAACACTATAGGGAATGCATTGAAAGATATTATGCTGTCCTTATGGGAGCTCTGGTGGCATAGTGCCTAAGGCACTTGACTGCTAACCGGAAGGTTGGCAGTTCAAACCCACCAGCCACTCCTTGGAAGGAAGATGGGACAATTTACTTCTGTAATGATACTGCCTCAGAAACCCAAGGAGGGGTCGCTGTGAGTCAGGTCCGACTTGATGGCACATAACAACAACAACAACAACATGCTGTCCCTGTACTGAGAGAGCTTGTAATGAATTGGGGACAGGTTGTAATGTGCTAAATAACAATAAAAGACTAAGAGTTTCAGGTAACAGCAATAGGTATTAAACCACTGCCGTTGAGTCGGATTCGACTCATAGTTGACCCCTCCTTGGGTTTCCGAGGCAGTATCACTATGAAGTAGATTGCTCATCCTTCCTTCCGAGGAGTGGCCAGTAGGTTTGAACAGTGAGCCTTCTGGTTAGCAGTCACATGCCTTAGGCACTATGCCACCAGAGATTAGCTAACCTTTTCTTTCCTTTTATTTATCTAAAGCATATACTGTGTGCTCTGGTAGCACAATGCCTAGGACATCTGACTGCTAACAAGAAGGTTGGTGGTTCAAACCCACCAGTCACTCTGCAGAAGCAGGACTGGGTGATCTATTTCCATAAAGATTTATTGCCTTGGGAACCCAATGGGGATTGCTAAGAGTTGGAATTGACTTGATGGTGGTGGGTTTTTTGTTTGTTTATTTTTTGTTTTGATACTATGTGCTCTAGTAGTGTAGTGGGTAAGACATTTGGCTGCTAAGCAGAAGGTCAGCAGTTTAAAACCACAGCTTCTCTGTGGAAGGAAGATGAGGCAATCCACTTCCTTAAAGATTTTCAGCCTTGGAAACCCAATGAAGGTCTGTATGAGTCAGAGTTAACTCTGTAGCAGTGGTTTTTTTTTTAATGCTATGTGCATTCACAGTGTGTGCTAAACTAAGTGCTTTTCATACATTAATCCATCTCATGTGAATAACAACTATGTGGGATAGCTACTTTCATCTTCATTTCATGGATAAGGAAAACTAGGCATAGAATGGCTTAGAAACAATCCCATAGCCGTGAAGCACTGGAGCTCTATTTTGAATTCAGCTGACAGTCGTATCCCCTACTCCAGGCAATTAAAAACAATATCAGAAGGTAATACATGATACTTTGTTACATGAATTCTTTGTATTGGTTTAGAATTTTTAGCTGAACTGGTTAACAGTTTATGGTGTTGTGGGCCCTTAGTTGGTCCTCAAAGAAAAGAGCACGCTAAAACATTTCAAGTAGAATTTTGCACAAAAATAGGAGAGCCTAATATGCTGTCAGGGATAGTATAATATCCATATCCTGCAAGAAAGGCCAGTTAATACTACTATTATTCAAATTCATGCACCAACCACCAAAGCCAAAGATGAGGAAATTGAAGATTTTTACCAGCTTCTGCAGTCTGAAATTGACCGAACATGCAATCAAGATGTGCTGATTATCACTGGTGATTGGAATGCAAAAGTTGGAAACAAAGAAGAATCACTGGTAGTTAGAAAATAGGGCCTTGGTGATAGAAATAACACTGGAGATTGCACAATTGAATATTGCAAGACCAACAACTTATTCATTGCAAATACCTTTTTCCAACAATACAAATTGTGGCTATACATGTGGACTTCACCAGAAGGAATGCATAGGAATCAGACTGACTACATCTGTAGCAAGAGGTGATGGAAAAACTCAGTATCTTCAGCCAAAACAAGGCCAGGAATTGATTGTAGAGCAAACCATCAACTACTCATCTGCAAGTTCAAGTTGAAGTTGAAGACAAAAGAAGTCCATGAGAGCCAAAATATGACCTTGATTATATCCCTCCTGAATTTAGAGACCATCTAAAGAACAGATTTAATGCTTGAACACCAATGACTGAACACCAGAGCAATTGTGGGATGACATCAAGAACATCATCCATGAAGAAAGTAAAAGGTCATTAAAGAGACAGGAAAAGAAGACCAAAATGGATGTCAGAAGAAACTCTGAAACATGACCATGAACAAAGAGTAGCTAAAGTAAATGGAAGAATTGACAAGATAAAATAGCTGAACAGAAGATTGCAAAGACTTCACCAAGGAGGATATTCAACAAACATATGAAGAAATGCTCACGATCACTAGCTATTAGAGAGATGCAAATCTAAACAACAATGAGATACCATCTTGTTCCAGCACTAGTAGCAAAGTTCAACAAGACAGAAAATAACAAATGCTGGCGAGGTTGTGGAGAGATTGGGACTCTCATACACTGCT